CCCCAAAACCCCAAAACCCCAAAACCCCAAAACCCCAAATCAAAAATTTTCAATTGAACAAAAATAAATCTAATATTTTAACTCATGGAAATTTGGATAATCCTGGCAATTTTATTTACGATCTTAGTAGCCTTCCTACTCACACTATATATCCTTTACAAGCTGAAGACTAAGTCTCAGGTATTACAGCCGTCATTAATTTTAGGGAAAAGAGCCAGCAGCCTATGACCAGAAGATCGTGAGGGACTACAGCGTACAGTGGGAAATAGACCAGAGAGATCAGAAGAGAATGCAACAGAGACCTGGAGGAAAACAGACTGGGTCACTAGGGCTTAGAAATAAGCAACTTGACTGTTTTATGAATGCAACCCTTCAGTGCTTCCTTGGGATGGATGAATTTTGTGAAGGTGTCTTAAAGGAGGTGATAAATAATGACTGTAGTGATGATGAAGCAAAATCTGATGAAGATTTGATATGTAAAGGTAGAGTTTTATATGAGTTTAAAAAGTTTATTGAAGAATATAAAGCTAGAAGGTTGAGTGCTGAGAGTACTAAGCCTTTGAGAGAAGTCTTCGAAACTTTATTTCCGAGTCATCAACAACATGACGCAAGACAGTTTATCATGGAACTTTTCGAAGCGATTCAATCTGAGAAAAATTCTTCAAATCAGCAATTTATTTCAAGTGGCCAAAAAAATCATAAGGAAGCTTGGGAAGAGTACAGAAAGGTTAGCTCATCAATAATTGATGATTTCTTTATCGGGATGTATGAGACAATAATCGAATGCCAAGGCTGTCATACCAAAGTCTCAGTTTATGAGCAATTCAATCATGTTCCTTTACCAGTAACATTGAACAATTCTTTTAAAAGCTTTGAGTCATTTTTATCAGATTTTGGTCAGGAATATTATTCTCAATTCAAATGTAAAGAATGTAACGATCTCAAGGAAAGTTCTCTTATTAGAAAGATTGTTAAATACCCAAAGTGCATCATCTTTACATTCGAAAGATTAAATCCTGGTAACAATACAAAGATTTCCGAATTTCAAGACTTTCCTCAAAGCTTTGTTTTGCCTGATCCTGAGAAGGATCAAGAAGACCCAGGAAAATTAAAATTCACTCTTAACAGTATCGTGAACCACTTTGGAACATTAAGAAATGGACACTATACTGCTAATAGCTTGCGTGACAATCAATGGTATAAATTTGATGATGAGTTTGCAGGTTGTCTCTCAAATAAATTGGTCAAATCAAACGAAGCTTATATACTCTTCTACAAAACAGAAAGTTATTAATTATCTTGTTATTCAATTACTCAGGCTACCTCTGGGGTTTTGGGGTTTTGGGGTTTTGGGGTTTTGGGG